CCGCTCGCCCCCCCCCGCCTCTGCTTTGATTAGGGGGTCTTCCCACCCAAACTCCCGCTTCTTCCCAGTGTGTCCATCCTTGGAGACAGCTGCTCCACCCTGCTTCTGCGTGTCCCCCGATACTCTCCGCAGCCCCCAGGGCCTCAACTCCTTACCCAGGTTTGGGCCACGAGCCACACCACTGTTTGGCCCAGACCCGGGCCATGGCGGGTGGATGGGCGCTAGGGGACTGCGAAAAGGGCGGAGCGCAATGTCCGGCCAGAAGCAAGGCCAGGTGACAGTGAAGACTAGGAGTCCGCAGTGTGTCAGAGAGATGTGTGCGCCCAGCGAGCAGGTGCCTGTGGCGCGGAGCGCACCAGAGAGCCAGCGAGCAGCGGCCGTGAGTGACGGCAGAGGCGGTGTGGGTGGGGTGGAATGGGGAGCGCCGGGCACGACTCAAGGCTCCGGAGGTTTCTGGGTGGGAGCGGTCTTCTTGCCGGAGGAGAGCCTGTCCCTGTGCCCTCGCAAGCTCTTCCCCGACATTGCCCAACTCTGTATCCATTGCAAAGGGGTCCCCTCCCGCCCCAGGCGGAAGGAGGCAGAGGTGGCATACACAGTCGCGTTCACAGCCCATCCCCCACTTTTGCATCTTCTGTGTCCCTAAACATTCCCGAGCCACCTAGAGAGTGCTGTCTGCCTTCCTAAGGGAAGTGTGGGTGGCTGAGTGGCTCAGTCCAGGCACAGTGGCTTAGGGGAGAGCCCTGGAACTCTCCTTGGACCTCCTCTCTTTCTTTTCCAAAGGGTTCGGGATTCCCATAGTGGTCTGGTCTGGTCCCTTAACAAACCTGAAGTTATGGTGGCACATCCCAGTGAACTTTCCCTGCAGGCTGGGGCCAGTCTCCTAGTGTCTCTGCCAGTGGGCTAACGGCTAGTGAAAAAAGGAAACCCAGAAGGAAAATAATTTCCCAGTAGCCATCCTAGTCCAAAACAAGAAGGACACAATCCTAGAGAAGAGGCCGCCAGCCCTTTCTAAACTTTGCCTGCAACAGTGAAGACCATGGGCACTGCATCCCTCTGCCCCTCCTCTTCCTTATGTGACAAGTGGGCCATTTCCACCCTCTGGTCGTTCACTGAATCTCTTGGGAACAGAAAACCATGTAGACCTTTCCTCCAGGGTCCCCATTGCCTGCTCCCTCTACATATCATCATCATTAGTCTGCCTCCCCTGGACATTCCACCTTTAGAAACCAGAATAGGTCTGTGAATGGAGGACCTTGCAGGCCCCTTGCTGTCCTCAGCTTTTGAAGGGAGGGGGCAGACTTGTATCATGCTACACAGATGCAGGGCCATAGCAGAATTCTAAGGGAGCTGATGGGGAATTGATTCCAAGCAGGGATCTGATGGCATGAGCTAGCTCACTATGCATGGGCTTGTTTGGAGAGGTAGTGAGCTTTTTCCTAGTACCAGAGCCAGTGGAGGACTGATGGCCAGTGTGTAGACTTACTGTAGGGAATTCCTGCCACTAGAAGGAGGTATACCTTGGTCACTCTGAAGATTAGTGGATTCTTTCCACCCATTCCCCCTGGTGTTTTTGTTTGTTGTTTTTTTGCTGTTTTTTGTTGTTGTTGTTTTTTGCCTGTGACATAAATTGGTGTGACTATAATAGTAGCATAATAGTAATAGCTGCTTACCAGCATGTGCTTGTCACACAGCAGACACTGGCTGCACTTTACATGTATCAGTTCTCATGATGACAACGAGAGTTCCTTCTCAAACATCAATCAGATCATCTTTCCCCTACTCTGAAGTCTGCAGTGACTCCTACTCCACTCAGTACAAATACTGGTGGCCTTCTCAATCTCTACTTTCCCCTCCCTTTGCCTTTTCTGCCTTTCTGTCCTTCGCCAGGCTCACTCTCCTCCCTGGACAAGGTCCTTTCTTGTGCAATGCAACATACTAGGCCCATCCCAGGGCCTTTGCATCAGCTGTCCTTGGTCCAGCTAGGATGTACCTCTGCTTTTTGTTAGGGAGTCGCTTTCTTAGCTAGGCCCACCCACCTCTAACTCATGTTTGACTCTGCAGTCTGGTGCTCCCTCCCCCAGCACTCCTCCTTTGTCCTTCAGTTCTTTTCAAATAACCTTCTTTCATCATATAGTTCAATGTCTTTACTTACTATTTTTCCAGCTGAAAGTCCCTAAAGCTTTTGCCACTTTCATCACTGGGGCATCTCTGGCTTTTAGCACAGAGGTCTAGCACAGAGTCTGAGTTTGACAGTGTGGTTCAGCCTACCTTATGGATGAGGTAGTTGAGGCTCAGAGAGCTTTTGGAACTTCCCTAAGGATGCACGGCTAGTGGGTGACTGAGGCTTCAGCAGTCTTTATTTAAACAACAACAAAACAAAACTTCCACACCCCTCTTCCAAGTCAAGAAAACCTGGAGCTTCTGAGAAGGGGCAGAGCCACCTGGTTAGCTCTGTGTTGGAGGAGCTTCTTGCCTGTCCATGTAGATTGGAGTGGAGACTTGCACTGTCCTCACTAGGGACAGTAATGAGCAAGGAACATGTTTGGGAGCATTGGGAAGGGCTCTTGTTCCCCTTTGCCACAGTTCCCTGTTGGTAGGCAGGAACTCTGGGACTCCTAATCTGTTTTGGCCTGGGTACCACCTCTGAAAAGGGAGTCAGATTCTTCCTCACCTGTCCTGATGGGCCAGAGGCAGGTACTGTGGTAGAGTGTGTGTATATATCTTCTCGAAGGGGTTGCTTCTCTCTGGGGACACAGCCACTCAGTCCTACCCACTGCAAATATCTCTCCAGCACCTGCAGAAATGCCTTGCTGGCATGCATCCTGTTTTATGAGAGAAGCAGTTTCCTGTGATGGATCTGTGGGAGCATTCCATGGGTGTTTGGTTCCCCTCCATGATTGCTCATCAGTGGTGTGGAGAATTGCAGGGTTTCCCTCCCTCTCTCTCTCTACAGTCACAGATCTGAAGTGTCTGTGGGGCTGCAGTGTTGAAGGGCCTGCCATAAGGTGCCTGGTGGCCTTTGAACTGGCTGTTTCCATGGGCTTGTTCCTGCTAGACCTGGCCGGTGTGCATTGGGTGCCCTTTCTAGCATGCCCTGATTATCTTTGCTGTAGCTTGACTGGGAGTTGAGCAAGAAGCCCTTGCCAATGCTGTTCTGGGGATGGTGATCTCTGAAAATATCTTTAACTCAGCTTTAGCAAATGTGCCTCCTAGAGTCACTTGCAAAGTTTATTTATTTTAATGTTCCATTTTCAGGTTGAGGCTTCGATATTCTTGTCTCGGCTGACCTCTCCTGTCCTTTCCTTGCCACGTGCAGCAACATTGATTTTGGGTAATGTGTTTTGATTTTAAGATGCAGCCCATCCATAAACTTTTCTATCAATAACCCCAGCACACTCTGGGTACTAGACAGCTGAAAGCAAAATATCAGATTTATGGGGACCTTTATTTTTGGGAAATATAGTCATTCATTTGCCATCAGTGTCAGCAAATTAAGGTTTGGAGTCTGCTCCTCCCTGGGGGGGGGACCCTACTTCAAGGACACAATCAGGTCAGGATCCACAAAGATTGCTAGAGAGGGAAAGGATGGGGGGACTGCTTCTGAGCTAGGAGGAGGGCAAGTGAAAAAGCTTTCATTTTGTGTTCCTTTTGCCCTCTTCT